TTGATCTGCCTACGATTTGTTACTTGTCTAGCCCTCATCTTTCTCTTCCACCTTCATAGAAGAGGCTACCCTATTCAGGTTGGACCTGAGAGTATTGGTTGTTGGCCTCTCCAGGAGGGAGACGTTGAAGACATTGTTGCGGACAAGAGTGTGGTCGTCAATGGCGTCCGTCTCCCTCGGCACCTCCTCCTCGATGTACTGTTTGAGGTGTCTCTTCTATACCATCTTCTCCAGCAAGGGCTTGTACACTCAAAAATCCTCGGTGAGGTGCCCATGTCCTTAGGGTACGAACACCTGAAATTCTGATTCTTGGTGGACGGATCACCTTGCATCTTAGGCGGCCACTTAAAGAATGACTCCTTCTTGATCTTACGCAATAACTTGTAGATAGACTACTTGAACACCGAATGGATACCTTTGAGGGAGTTCCCCGATGTAGGGATCAAACCTTGCCTAGGAGGGCCTCTTTCTTTCTCCTTTCCTTCTTCTTAAGAGCTGAACTTTTTTCTTTGCTCTCTGTCCACTCGTATTCAATCAGGGAGTACTTGTTGATGCGGGCCATTAGTTTGTCCATGTCCACCGGTTTTCCGTTTATCAGTTTGCCCATGACCAACCACTCCTCAATGAGATCAACAAGTTGATGGGCCAAGGGCCCCTCGAGACTCAGTTTAGTTTGGCCAGTTCTTTCTCTAGAATGGACCGAAAGCTCCTTATTGACGCTCTTAACGTGATCCTTTGAGCTCGGAATGGATGGAGTTGGGATGTCCATGTTCTTTTGCTAAGGACCTTTTCCTTTCAAACATGTATTCACCATGGTCACTGTCACCGAAAAACTTGGTCGCTTCCCATAGACAGGGCCAAATTGTCTGCGATGGTTCTCGCACAATAAATAAATTAACAGATCTCTTCATTGGTGAACTCGAGGTAACCTGAAAAGTGGAAGATCCCGTAGCAATTGGATGTTGCGACATCGTATAAGGAGTGACGATGAATCTTTTTCCAGCTATCTGGTCACTCTTGACTTATCAAGATGAGTCATGTCATTCAAAAAGAAAGGTTACAAGACCGCCAGAGTATTTTTTGGTGTGACCCCTCCAACGAATACCTTTGACTTGCATTTGTGAGAGATACTTATACCTTTTTAAAGTTAATCATTACAGACTTCCAGATCCCTTGGAGGGAAGGCTACTCGTTTGCTCATTTGGAAGACAATAGGTGGTGCTCAGACCTCGAGCAGTGAGCCTTCCTTTTCACGTGGAAGAAGTTTTTGCATTTAATACTCGAGCCTCTGTGCATTTAATACTCGGCTTCCTAAGTCGTCGATCAATAAATGCACCTCATTCTTTTGAAGGGAACATTTAATGTGACCTGATTATGGCTGCGCATGCGCAAGGTGGGGTCATGTCTTCTGTGCTTTGTACTTCGTTCTCTCTTTTCTATTGGTCATTGACCTACCCTCCTATCATTCTGGTTGCCTTGGGAAAGGGAATGTAACACCCTAATCCATTTAGTAATATTCAGAGTGCTAATTACCTCAATAACGAATATACTGAATCTTCATTAAATATCAGAATCACTAAACACCTCAAAAATAAATAAATAACCTCTTAATGACTGTTTAAATTACAACCAATCGAAATCTTTCATTCATTGATCAACCCGATTCTCCACTAAATTTTAAAGCTCAATAAATAATTTAAAACATAATATACAAAGTCAAAGGGCGAGACGATAATTTATTAACCAACCGATGACACAAGAGTTAATACAATAATTTATAGAGTACAAATATATTGAACCTGTCAATGAACTCGAACATTTGAACAATCAGATCAACCATGATTGAACTCTTGGTTAATCCCAACAACAAGCTACGCATCATTCAGTGCATTTTAATTCAATCATGTCCACCCCTCAAGGCCATGAACATGAATCACAATCATAACCATGCCACCAAGTATACGTCACGCACGAGTCGAAAAATCTCAAGTATTTCACCAAAGCTAATATTATAGCAATTAATGACATATACTTGCTGATATTTCAAACTATAATATCGTATATATACGTCAAACTATGAAATATCAAACTATGATATTTCAGCAAGTATACGTCACTCAAACGATATTACAATTCAAATACGAATAGGATGATATCAATAAAGTACTCTCTGCAAAGAGATTAAAAGAATACATATCATGTATAAACCACTTACCCAATTTTCAATAGAAATCAATATTTAATACATGAGAATATCATATTTGAACTTCAATTCGAACGGATCAAAAATCTCGATTCAATTCTCTTGTAAAACTCTTCGNTGGAAGATCCCGTAGCAATTGGATGTTGCGACATCGTATAAGGAGTGACGATGAATCTTTTTCCAGCTATCTGGTCACTCTTGACTTATCAAGATGAGTCATGTCATTCAAAAAGAAAGGTTACAAGACCGCCAGAGTATTTTTTGGTGTGACCCCTCCAACGAATACCTTTGACTTGCATTTGTGAGAGATACTTATACCTTTTTAAAGTTAATCATTACAGACTTCCAGATCCCTTGGAGGGAAGGCTACTCGTTTGCTCATTTGGAAGACAATAGGTGGTGCTCAGACCTCGAGCAGTGAGCCTTCCTTTTCACGTGGAAGAAGTTTTTGCATTTAATACTCGAGCCTCTGTGCATTTAATACTCGGCTTCCTAAGTCGTCGATCAATAAATGCACCTCATTCTTTTGAAGGGAACATTTAATGTGACCTGATTATGGCTGCGCATGCGCAAGGTGGGGTCATGTCTTCTGTGCTTTGTACTTCGTTCTCTCTTTTCTATTGGTCATTGACCTACCCTCCTATCATTCTGGTTGCCTTGGGAAAGGGAATGTAACACCCTAATCCATTTAGTAATATTCAGAGTGCTAATTACCTCAATAACGAATATACTGAATCTTCATTAAATATCAGAATCACTAAACACCTCAAAAATAAATAAATAACCTCTTAATGACTGTTTAAATTACAACCAATCGAAATCTTTCATTCATTGATCAACCCGATTCTCCACTAAATTTTAAAGCTCAATAAATAATTTAAAACATAATATACAAAGTCAAAGGGCGAGACGATAATTTATTAACCAACCGATGACACAAGAGTTAATACAATAATTTATAGAGTACAAATATATTGAACCTGTCAATGAACTCGAACATTTGAACAATCAGATCAACCATGATTGAACTCTTGGTTAATCCCAACAACAAGCTACGCATCATTCAGTGCATTTTAATTCAATCATGTCCACCCCTCAAGGCCATGAACATGAATCACAATCATAACCATGCCACCAAGTATACGTCACGCACGAGTCGAAAAATCTCAAGTATTTCACCAAAGCTAATATTATAGCAATTAATGACATATACTTGCTGATATTTCAAACTATAATATCGTATATATACGTCAAACTATGAAATATCAAACTATGATATTTCAGCAAGTATACGTCACTCAAACGATATTACAATTCAAATACGAATAGGATGATATCAATAAAGTACTCTCTGCAAAGAGATTAAAAGAATACATATCATGTATAAACCACTTACCCAATTTTCAATAGAAATCAATATTTAATACATGAGAATATCATATTTGAACTTCAATTCGAACGGATCAAAAATCTCGATTCAATTCTCTTGTAAAACTCTTCGTTTGGATCTCTTTCTCCTTTTCTTTGTTTCGGCCAACAACTTCTCGTTTTCAAAACTTCCATCTTTTTCCTTAAGTTTCTATCCACTTGCTCTTTCCAAGGCACACATAGAATATTAATTTGCTTCTCTCTAAATGAAAGCACACAAACTTTCATTGCATGAATCATAACCGCCACCTCACCATCTTTATCTTCTTATTTTTTTTCTTCCTTCTTTTGTCTTCTTTAAGTAGGTTATTCATGTTAACGATGTCTAGCAAACAAAAAGGGTATCTTCAATTATAGTTTGCAACCCTTTAGTTTCATTAATTATAGATATGCAATAAAGTTTAATATTAATTATGTTTTTCTCCACAAAACTTTATATTGTTTCTACTTACTTAAATTCAATACTTCTATTAGAAAATTCGGGATCTCACTGGAAAACTGATGGTTGACAACCAACTTTACTCCCAAGCCACGATAACTGTCAAAATAACTAGTCATACTTAGTTGGTAGAGGACACTGAACGCCAAGGACACGTGTTGAGTGGCCTAGGCTCCGAGGGTCCCTAGCGTCGAGGACACGTGTCAACACATGGATGCTTCAAATTGTTAGTGTTGTGGACATGTGTCAGTTACAGAGAACTTCCAAGGGAACACATGCTGAGAACACGGGTCAATGCATGAGACGTCCAAGGGTGCTGTTGTGCCAAAGACATGTGTTGCTCACAAAGAGATCCGTGGGGATTCACACCAAGAATATATGTCAATTCACGGAACGTCCACATTTATTATACCAAGAACACGTCTTGATTCCATGCTAATTCACAAAAACGTCCCATCAATTTACTTAAGTGGAAAATATATTCGTTAGAGGTAAACATCTACAAGTAAAGGGTGCCTTTACAAAAAAAACTTTAGGCACCTGTAAAAAGCAAAAACATCTCAATGTCGGGAAATTAACTTGTTAGTTCTTTACCAAAGCTTAACAACAGTGAGGTTTTAGTACCTCAATATGTCCTGAGTCAACCATAGTACTCAAAGTGTAAAGGTGCAGTTGTATGATTAGACTTTCTTTTATAGTCTCTCTCTCCGGGTACAGTGCATTAATTCGAGATGATTAGTCGGTGAACTGTACGGATTCCGTCTTTCTAGAAAGAAGACTGGTGATTTGATGACCATTGACAGCACGGGCGCCGTTGGATATTTCTTAGGAGAGAGATGGGGGAAGACTTAAGACATGCTATAGTGCTGTACGGTTATGGCCAGATATGAAGTAACTGTGTAGATAGATCCCACAAAAGTATTTAGCAAAATGGGTAACCATGGGAACAAGGATTATCAGCTGCACTTAAAGGGTAAAAATCCCACCAGAGGCAGTGAAGAAGGGATCAAGGTGAAGTACATATCAAGCCCTGTGATGGTGAAAGCCAATAACGCTTCCGAGTTCCGAGCAATCGTTCAAGAACTCACCGGCCAAAACTCCCACATCAGAAGCCCCGGCAATGCAGACACAATGGTAAGCAATAAATCTAGCCAGACTCATAGTCATGGGACTTCCATTTCACAACTGGTTTTCAAAAACTGGAGTACATGAATACTTGAACACTCTATCATCATTGGAGATTAATAAAGATTTGTTCTGGGGAGAAGCTTCAGAGAGCTTATCCAGCTTACATTTTCATCGCCAGCAGTGGTTTTATCTTTCAACAGTTATTTCCTTGGAGTTCTTGTTGATTTTATTCCTGCTTATAATTCCTAGTAAAGAATAATAAATCCAGAAGATTTCCGGTACTGCTTCTTACATAGAGCTATCCTTTTATGTCAAGTTATACAATTCTGATCCTCTGAAAATTACAACTGAAGACTTATTTTGGAACCAACTAGAAATAGTTTTCATATTGGGTTTTTACACATGGAATGTAGGGCGATGATAATCACTTGTCCGGTTAAGTGATGGGCACGCGTTCAAATTTTGTAGAGCTTTTGGGGTAGCCTAGGAGGGCTCTTGTGATGCAGGTTAGTCTGAATAAAAGACGAGATTAAATAACACAAATTTTAATTTGTTGATTATTACAATAATATTAGATTAAAATCGTCATTAGCTTTGTTGATTTACGAAGAATACTAAATCAATTAGAAGAAATAAAAATTTATCTCCCAATTTATTTTAAATAATCAAAAGCTGTTGAATTAATTTTTCAACACAATATAAATATAAAATCATAATTGTGCTAAATTACTAGGATAACCAAGTAATAAGTAATATTACAAAAATATCCCAAATAGCGGAAGAAAATGAAAAAACATGTCTAAAAAGTGTAATAAACATCATTTTAAACGATGGAATGAAAGATAATTTTTTTTAATCTTACTTAAATCGTCGAAAGCTATTCGAAATGAAGTTTTCTAAATTTTTTTGACACTATTACTCAAAATCAGTTCTGATTAACATTCGATTAACACTGCTTTCGACAATGTTAATCTTTCGCTTTGTCAGTTCTCTACTATATGCGTTACATCACCTTGGCTCGAATTCTTCGCAGATGAAAACAAAAAGAAAAAAAAATTGGTGGCAGGCTTGGGATACGTTGAATTATTACCATCATATTTGCCACGGCCACGGGCCAGATTTTCCAAGGCGCGGGCTTGATTGTTTTGATAAACTTAAAATTGCTGACGTCATGCAAACTTTTTTTCTTATTACCTATAGTACCCTTCTACTCTTCTCTCTCTCTCTGGTTACACACACAAGACTGTGACACACGCCCATAAAACACCACACTAGTGACCCACTTATAACACACACTCAACAGACAACTACACCAATGATCCACCAAGAAGATACCACCTCCACCACCACGACATCTATCCATTCAATCGTTACATCACTTATACTGTCACCAAAATGCTGCATCACTGCTCTATGTCTATTTATATAAAAAATTAAAATCAAAGCTATAGTCTATTATATATATATATATATATATATATATNTTCCGAGCAATCGTTCAAGAACTCACCGGCCAAAACTCCCACATCAGAAGCCCCGGCAATGCAGACACAATGGTAAGCAATAAATCTAGCCAGACTCATAGTCATGGGACTTCCATTTCACAACTGGTTTTCAAAAACTGGAGTACATGAATACTTGAACACTCTATCATCATTGGAGATTAATAAAGATTTGTTCTGGGGAGAAGCTTCAGAGAGCTTATCCAGCTTACATTTTCATCGCCAGCAGTGGTTTTATCTTTCAACAGTTATTTCCTTGGAGTTCTTGTTGATTTTATTCCTGCTTATAATTCCTAGTAAAGAATAATAAATCCAGAAGATTTCCGGTACTGCTTCTTACATAGAGCTATCCTTTTATGTCAAGTTATACAATTCTGATCCTCTGAAAATTACAACTGAAGACTTATTTTGGAACCAACTAGAAATAGTTTTCATATTGGGTTTTTACACATGGAATGTAGGGCGATGATAATCACTTGTCCGGTTAAGTGATGGGCACGCGTTCAAATTTTGTAGAGCTTTTGGGGTAGCCTAGGAGGGCTCTTGTGATGCAGGTTAGTCTGAATAAAAGACGAGATTAAATAACACAAATTTTAATTTGTTGATTATTACAATAATATTAGATTAAAATCGTCATTAGCTTTGTTGATTTACGAAGAATACTAAATCAATTAGAAGAAATAAAAATTTATCTCCCAATTTATTTTAAATAATCAAAAGCTGTTGAATTAATTTTTCAACACAATATAAATATAAAATCATAATTGTGCTAAATTACTAGGATAACCAAGTAATAAGTAATATTACAAAAATATCCCAAATAGCGGAAGAAAATGAAAAAACATGTCTAAAAAGTGTAATAAACATCATTTTAAACGATGGAATGAAAGATAATTTTTTTTAATCTTACTTAAATCGTCGAAAGCTATTCGAAATGAAGTTTTCTAAATTTTTTTGACACTATTACTCAAAATCAGTTCTGATTAACATTCGATTAACACTGCTTTCGACAATGTTAATCTTTCGCTTTGTCAGTTCTCTACTATATGCGTTACATCACCTTGGCTCGAATTCTTCGCAGATGAAAACAAAAAGAAAAAAAAATTGGTGGCAGGCTTGGGATACGTTGAATTATTACCATCATATTTGCCACGGCCACGGGCCAGATTTTCCAAGGCGCGGGCTTGATTGTTTTGATAAACTTAAAATTGCTGACGTCATGCAAACTTTTTTTCTTATTACCTATAGTACCCTTCTACTCTTCTCTCTCTCTCTGGTTACACACACAAGACTGTGACACACGCCCATAAAACACCACACTAGTGACCCACTTATAACACACACTCAACAGACAACTACACCAATGATCCACCAAGAAGATACCACCTCCACCACCACGACATCTATCCATTCAATCGTTACATCACTTATACTGTCACCAAAATGCTGCATCACTGCTCTATGTCTATTTATATAAAAAATTAAAATCAAAGCTATAGTCTATTATATATATATATATATATATATATATAGTTTCCATATTAGATTTTACTATCAAATCTGTCATATTTAATTTTTTGGTATGTACTAATATTATGATATTATAATACGTACCAACAATAATTTACAATTTAATCAATCACTTTTACAAAAAATGTAATATATTTAGATGTGCAAATACTTAGTAATTAAAATCTTACAATGAAACTTTAGTATAAATAAAAGAGGAAATGTCTAAAACAATTGGCGAGATACCTAAAAAAAATGAAAGATTAGGTAATCAAAAAAGGAGCAAAACAAATTACTAATTAGGTTTTGTAATAATTAAAATAATAATTAATTATTAAACATATAATTTATTATTCAGTTAAATTAAAAAATTATATAATTTTTTGTAGAAAAAATTAGTATTTAAATATTTACGTGCAATACAAGTCATGCATTACTAATATAGATAAATACACATTTATGTGTGTATTAGATCGATGAGTCTTTGGTCTAATCATATTCTTTACTTTGTGAAGACTTTGTCTTCTTAAGGTCAATGGATCAAATCCCCTCTCCCTAAAAAAAAAATCCTTTTAAAAAAAAAATTATATCTGGTCAAATATAATATATGGGTAAATATTAAAGTTTTGCAAGTGCAAATTAGTAAAAGGGCCGCTTTCGTGTGTTGTGTTAGTGAAGTTTTAGATAATACATAGGATCTCTTTGAAGATATGACGGATAAAGTTTTCCCTTGAATAAATGATCATTAGATATTTGCCACAGAATGTATTGTGTCTCGTGTGTTTGAACCTGTTACTTGTTACCAAATCTTATTAACCGAGTTTTTAATGACTCAAATCAGTCATGAGTCAACCATATCAAAGTCTAAAGCTGGCAATTGCGCGGGAAGACTGTCTTTCAAAGTCTCTCTCTCTCTCTCTGTCTCGGTCCCATGAGGAAGGTGTGTCTTGTCAGTCCTGTTCATCTTATGGTGCACTAAGTAGTCAACCACTTTTTTGGGCAACAAACTTGCTTACATTTCTCAATTTTCTTCCCATTAAAAAGGTATCACAAACTAAATGTCCGAAGTTTGAATTTCACCAGTTGTGATTGAACCCTCCTGCATATAATCTAATTAGGTTAAGTTCTAAATAATTATAACTTAATTGAGTTTATGATATAGATGATAAAACGACACAGTACTTGAATCGTTGGGATCGATATTGAGATAGTTCGGAGCGATCAAACAAGTTGAATTTTTTGGAATCACTTCTACATAATGAGTTTTGAAATATCCATGTTCAGCTAGAAATGACAAGGTAAAATGAGATGAGATGATACATTGTGGATTTCAGACAAATTCGTTCATTTAGGGCCTAAAAATCGCTTTTTTGTCCTTTTTAGTAATTTTTTGTAGTTTAATAACTTCATTGTCTGAAGTCAAAATTAATCGCTGTCAATTCTACCTTAATTTTGGTAATTAATAATTTTTAGCCGTATAATTCGTTTGGACCTTTCTTTTTTGACAAATTTTGTAATAATTACTTAATTATGTAATTAATGATAATTAGGTCACAATTTATTATTTCCTAGTTGTTATTAGGGTTTCTTACACTACTAGTTAATGTACATGTTCATGCACATGAACCATGTTGTACACTAAACGAAAGGCGACTAATCATATTGTGGTTCAGATCATAGTATATCTGTTGTTGAACACTTTTCTTAGCTGTTTGCAATCAAAACTTTTAGGTGCATAGGATTTTAAAATAAATATTGAAACATCGAAGCAATACTTGCACAAAAAGGGAATCATATGAATGTATAGACAAATAGGCTAATCATACATTTAACCCTTTCAAAGCTCAAAAGGAAGGTATACCGTCTTTATTTCAAAGCTTGTATAATTTTCACTTGACCAAGAAATTTTGAAGACAGTTCAATTTCCGACTATGGTTGGCAATATTTACAAAGCATCAAAAACTTGAATAATTAGTTTCCATTATGGAGTGTAGTCTGTTTGTGGGGTCATGAAAATTCTCACCTTAAAGGTTGTCTTAAGTAGTCAAAGAATATGAAATCAATATATTGTGTTTTACTTTTATTGTGAATGTCATGTTTGTTTTTCCCCCTTTAGGTATGAAATGGTGTCTTAACTTATACCATGATCATTGTCCGAATTACTTGTGAACTCATCGAGGTCTTGATATGTTTTTTTTTTTTTTTTTTGTGGTGACTTTGAGAACTGATAGTATATCAGGTTTTGATTTGTATTAACTTCAGCCAAGAAATTGAAGATGCGTCGAAGTGTACAAATAATAAACAGAGCAAGTAATTGTCTTCAATAGTTACAAGTTTAATACTTGCAGTTTATGAGATGGTTGGCTTCGTATGTCACAAGATAACACATGCTAAGCTAATCAATATTATAAGGGCCTTCATCTTTTGAA